TGTCAAACAATGGAACCAATTTAAAAAAAAAAAAGACTGCACTAAATATATCCTTTTGGTAGATGCCAAATTAGGATATCATTAAGAAAGGTCTTATTTTTCAAACTGCAGTAATGATGGAAATATTAGTCAGGCAAACAATAAAAATCCTAATATTTTACTAATCTAAAAATAAGTGATTTACAGTAGAGAACGATAATTTAAAAGGCTGTTCACATGGAGAATAGTGGTATTTATGAAATCCATCTGCCTTTAAGAAAGGCATTTTACAATTTATTTCCTTGATTATAGGGTATAAATATCTAAGATGAGCATGCTACTTGTTTACTACTACTTAACTCTAATTTAATTTAGTTTGTTTTCAGTTTCTGGCTGGAGCAAACAGATAAAGAATATTTATTGAAATGTGGAAGGAAACGAACAGGTTCAGGGTGTTGAGATCAGGAATTCACTTTCAGACATGTTGAGTTTGAGGTTTCTGTGAGAAACCCAAGGAGAGATTTCAGAGAGGCATTTGGACATGAGAATATAAGGCTAAAGACGTAAACGTGAGTGGATAAATGAACGAACGGGAGACAGAAAAGACAGCACAGCGATTTGGAGTCGAGGACCTCTGCAGACTGCCTGGTCTGAATCATACCTGTGCTACTGGGCAGCTGCTGACCTTACCGAGTTATCTAACGTGGTGCTTTAGTTTCCTTATAGCAAAGATGGAGAAAATAAGTAAAGACTGAGTAAATGAATAGTTTAAAAAAAAAAAAAAACCTTGAAAAAATGTTTTCTTTATTCTTGCGGGAGTATGTACACATGCATGTATGAGAGAGAGAGAGAGGGCACCCTCCATAGGACGGTATGAGAGAGAGAGAGAGAGAGAGGGCACCCTCCCCAGGACCTCATCATGCTGTGATCTCCTTCTTCAGTCACCTCTTGGGTGTGTGTGTAAACACACATGTCTGCTGTGTTTCTGGCTGCCTGGGCTATGGATCCAAACCTCAGTGCTCATGTGGGCTCCAGCTTCTCTTAACAGCACATTATCGCTGTGCCAGAGACAGACGAAACATGTACTTTTTTTAAAAAAATCTTTTTCTCATCAAGGGCTCTATAAATTTTGACTATTATTAGCCTCCTCAGTAGCAGCAGCAGCTGTTACAGAAGATATTTAGTCTTTGGAAGGGATAAGATGTCTAAAGAAAGCAGAGAGGCGAACACAAGCCTGAGCCTTGACTAACCCCCAAATCAGGGGTCAGGAATTTTATTTTTTTAAGAGAGTTTTTGTTTGTTTGTTTTCATTGTTTGTTTGTTTTTGCTATGTGGGCATGTGTGTGTGCCAGAGATAGAGAGGGAGACAGAGAAAGTAAGAAATCATTCCCTGAGAGGATGGTCATGCCACAATTCTTCTTCTCCATCCTCTTCTTGGGCTCATGGGCACACATGCACACATGCCTGGCATGAGTTTCAAGCCAAAAGGTCAAGACTTGAACTGCAGTTGGCCATGTGGGAGTCCAGAGTTTCAACCACTATAACTGACACCTGCTGGCCCAAGTCAGGAATATTTTTTTCTTTGAGAGAGAGATTTTTGTTATAGGGTGCATGTGCTCACCAGAAAGACAGAGAGAGACAGAAAGCAAGAAATCACCCCCAGAGGAGATGGCCACACCACAATCCCTTCTCCTCCGTGTTCCTTTCAGGATCTTGGGCATGCACATACATGAGCCCACTGTGAGTTTTAAGCTGCCAGGTCTAGGACTCGAACTGTGGTCAACAATGTGGGAGTTGAGTGATATAACCATTTGGTCATCTGCTGGTCCCAGTCAGGAACATTTTTAAAAGGAACTAAAATGTTTATTGCCTGTGAGGTAGAAAAAATAAACACCCAAGGCATTGTCAAGGAAGTCCCAAGAAGAGAATGTGGGAAGAAGGCCTACTGACTGGGTAGCACTGACTGGGTAGCACATGTTCATGGACATCCATGCAGCGGCAGCCTCAGTGTTCTCCAGCATTAGTGGCTCTCCAACAGCAGGCTCAGTTAAATGCCCAGAGAGGAAGACATTTTTGAGAACATGTCCTTTAAGAATTTCCTACTGGTGTTTTAGCATGTGTTTTACCATCTTTACTTTTTACAGCTATGTCTACTTCAACAGATAAAAGCATTTATTGAAATAAACAATGTCTTCATTCAATCCAGGAACACTGCTATATAAGGGACAGTAAACCTTCTTAAAGAGAGTATATCCAGGGCAATCCTTTCTTTAAGGATGAAAGAAGGGCTTGCTGTAGAAAGAGCCTGAACAGAGAAAACAGCGCTGCCCGAATACATTCACCTGGCCAGCATGCAGGGGCGCCAGCAGCTGTGGAAGAACAGGGTGCTCTTTTCTCAAGTAGCGCTTCTCCCTAAGTCAGATTCCAAAAATAAGCCCATGCTCGGACCTCGTGTATTTATTACTATGGAAAACACAAAGATTACAATGCAGCACAGGTTTTCACTAAAGGAAAATCTTGAGCTGGTGGGAAGGTAGTATCTGACTAAATCAAACACCTTTGGAAAATAGCACATTTCTGTTCGTGAAATGGATAAGTGCATTTTGGGGAGGCTTGCACTAATGTTTCCAACCTTTTTTTTCAAATGATAAAACTAAATACCAGGTTTTATTTTCAGGGATGCATTTAACGAATCATTTCACAACAAAGTCACAGATTCTTTTGGGTGTGGAAGACTGCTGAGTTTTGTTATGTCCCATGCATTCTTGACCCAGGCTGGCTTTTTCATGAGGAGGGAAAGAAGGAGGCATTTATGAGAGCACATCTGGAAACAGTACAAGTTCCTGGGCACAAGTAGTGTGCGCCCAAACCAACATGGATCAGAGGCAGATGCCCCATGTCAGCACAACGCCGATACACAACAGGGCTGCTCCCTGCAGTGTTTGTTATTGGCAACACATTACAGATTTCTCTCAAGATAGACATGTTATCTTCAGATAAAAGAAATAAAAGATCACTGTAAAAAGATTCGGGCAGCACCAGGATGAGTGAGGTAGGGGAGGGTATGTTTGTAGTAATCCCACCTCCTAAGAGAAGCTGTACCCATGGTCTTTCTGGGCACATACATGGTAATGTATTTCCTCACTGTTAGGATTCATAGTTTAAAAGTTTCACATTTCAGAAATTGGTATGCATCTCAAAATTAATACATATAGTTACATTCATATAAAAGGCAGAATTTCTTTGTCAACACAAATAGGTCTATCTTATTCTTAGTAGGGATAGTAATTCTTTTATTTCTTCATTTCAAAAAAGGTTATGGTTTCTTATTTACATTCAATCATCACACACCTCTATAGCATACAATGTGGTTTTTCAAAGTACAAACAGAACAGTACTTTAAAAGATGAGTTTATAAGCATTATAATATTGCATCATCGGAAAAATCATGATGCATTTTTGCATAGAAAAATATGTCATAAATTTTCCAATGACCCAGTGAATTTCTGGGACCATCGTGTGTTTAAAATAAGTAAAGTAAATCCAACTTACAAATATGAATCCTTACCAATGTAAGACTGGCTTCGAGGAACATCTCAAAAGCCCTCCCATGTCCTATCCTAATGGGGTTCACTCTACTCCCAAAAAGAAGAGAGGGCAGCAGTCCTTTGCCCCAGCTGAGGTAAATCAGACCCCACCAACCACAGCTCTCTCCTCCTGTTCTCTGCACCATTTTATCTCCCAGAGCAGCTGGGAGACCAACCCAAGAACAAGGCCAAAGCTGTTCTCCTGCAGATGTTCCTCCCCTCCCCAGTGCTGACATGTGGACATTATATCGGCCTTCATCAAAGGACCATTAGGTCCAAGACAGATTCATAATGGGAGAAGTCGTGGCCTTGGCTGTTATGCAGCAAGGTGGTCCAGCCTTACTTACTGGAATACGGTGATGGGACTAGGGCTTTTCCTCACCTCTTATGTAACTTACTCTGCTATCGTGTCTGTGTGCATGTGGGCAGCCATCACTCAAGGCCATCTCAGGAAAGGAATGGCCACAGCATAGGATGGAATTAGGTTGTTTCTGGATGTCCTGATCAAATCTATTAACAGCATCCTAATATCAGAGATTTTAAATGTATACCACAGAGTATTCGCTCTTAACTATATCGCAAGCACATCTTTCCAAATCAATACATGCAGGTTTACTACCTCATGCTTTCTAATATTTTTGTTGGTTTCAGGTTTTTGTCATTGGGCATACGTGCTCGCTAGAGAAAGTGAGAAGTCGCCCCCAGCGGGGAGGGCCACACCACAATCCTTTCTCCACCATTCTCCTCTCAGGATTTTAGGCACACATGCCCAGCATGATTTTCAAGCCATGGGGTCAGGGACCCAAGCTGGTTTTGGTCGTGTGGATGTCCAGTGTCTTAGCCACTACATCACCTACTGGCCCCACTTTCTAATCTTGAAGTAGGGGTTTGAGCATGTTGGCCCAGTGAGCATTAAAGCAAATGTAGTAAGACCAAGGATGGTAGCTTCTGTCATCATCCATCAACAGCACAGCTAGAAGTCAGGACCCTGAAATAGGACAGATGGGCCTCAAGACAGCTCATGATATTTGTCACTTTGTGAGAGTCCACATGATCCACACGTGTGCATGGGTATAGCAGGCCAAAGAATGACTCAGTCCATCAGTACAGAGTCCAAAAAAGAAACAAACAAAAAACATAGCTTGTCTTTATGAATGAATGACTAGATGTTTTAGCATTATATAAATATACTACAGTTTTCGGGAAAATGGAGAACAGTGTGCGGCATGGCCATCCTCCCTGAACTATGATTTCTCACTTTCACTCTCACTCTTGCTCTCTCTCTCCCCAGCAAATGCATGCTCCCTGTGGCAAAAACCTAAAAAATTTAAAAAATTAAATAAATGTACTCCAGTTTTTTATAATATAGAATAATGTATAAGAAAACAATGACTAAAGAAGGACTTGTGACGTTGGTCACTATGTCATTCTTACCTCATTTGAAGGAATTGTAGCGAAGGGTTTGATGACAGCAGCTAATGGAATCTGAGCTTGCTTAGCCATGTCTGACGTGCACGGGAAACAGTATGTCGTACAACGGATGTATCGAGGACTAGCATTGCCTGAAACATTCAGAGCGACATACTTAAATTGGCTTAGGGGGAAATGTTTAAATATTTATATAGATATTTCTAGATAATGAGTCACCTTATTTATAAATCTGTCTTCATGATTTAAAAAAAAAGTTGTGATGTTGTGCAATTCTGCAATAGGTATACTATAATTTCTTGTGATCTACAACACTCTGAATTCTACTGCAAAGATTTTTTTTTGGAGAGGTTTTTACTATAGGGCGCATGCACTCGCCAGAAAGACAGAGAGAGACAGAGAGACAGAAAGTGAGAAATCAGTCCCCAGGGGGGATGGCCACACTGCAATCCCTTCTCCTCTGTTCTCCTCTTGGGATCTTGGGCATGCACGCACACACGCCTGGTGTGAGTTTAAGCCACCGGGTCTGGAACTTGAACTGCGGTGGACTACGTGGGAGTCCAGCAACACAGCCATTACGCTAACTGCTGGTCCCTGCAAAGATATTTTTAAAAACTGTTTTAATTGTCATTATTATTTTCCATAAGCAGAATTTTAATATAGCCTTAACATTATAGACTTAAAAGATATTTAGATTCAATGGAAGATGTAAATCAAAAAGGCACAAAAACATAAAAAGTAAATTTGGGAACATAATCAATTCTTCATCTTGTTCTGTCAGTGCACACATTTATGGGGAAACCAAGCATTTCTAAACTATTTCATATTAGTAAGTGGACCTTTGGCAAATATAATTCCATTTGCATACTTTTTCTAAACTTGTAAGTTGCAATTAGAAATGAAATTCCTACTTAAAATAGGAATATTCTTTCTAAAAATACTTTATTTTTTGTTAGAGATAAACCTAATACCTATATATGTAAGGTTTCTTGATGAAATGGCATTATTTCTTGGCCTATGTGATGACAAAACAATATCTAAGTCATGAAAACTGTTTTTTAATTACTAAAATAAGTTATCAGAAATACATTTTGAAATGAAACGACAACATATTATGATTAAAAGAATATAACCATCAAACAAATACTTATTGAGTATCTACTAGGTTTTAGGTGCTGTTGAGGAGCTTTGTTACAGACGTATGCAGATTCTGGCTGTATCTTGACTGTACAGTGACCTCTTGTTAACAGCATCACATATGAGCTGTGCAAACGTGACGTGTGTGTAGGAGAGAGGGTCAGGAATGACTCCAAGTTTTTGGCATGAGGAATTCATTAAAATCATAAAGTCGCCATCAGCTGGAAAGGGGAAGACTGCCAGAGGGAAGGAGTTTATAATGGGTGGGTGGGTGAGGCTCCGGTATCTGGGTTAGGATATGTCCACTTTGGGAACTCCGTTAGGTAGTCAAGTAGCAATGCTTAGGAAGTTGTTATCTGATTCTGCAGACTGGCATGAAGTCTGGGCATGAATGAATGAAACGGTGTTACACACATAAAATGGAATATAATTAAGCGTTAAAAAGGAATGTATTTCTGAAACATGCTACAAGGTGAAAAACTCTTGAAAATGGTATGAAAATGAAATTAACCAGATACAAAAGGACAAATTCATATGTTCCCACTTAAATGAGGAACACATAGTAGGCAAATTCAGAGAGAGGGAAAATTGTATTTGAAGCCATGAAATTAGACTAAAACCACCAAGGCAATAATCATGGCCAAAGAAGAAAAGGTGACCAAAGATGGAGCCCTGAATAGGTCCTGAGTGTCACTGAAATGATAAAAAAAAAAAGTTCTAGAAATTGGCAATAGTAATGACTATACAGCATGTGAACATAATTAAGGCCGCTTTATTGCACAGTTAAAAATGATTAAAAGTGGATGGCCAACAGATGGTGTGATGCTGGATCCCACATGGCCAACTCCATGGTTCGAGTCCCAGACCTGGTGGCTTGAAAAATACGCCAGGCATGTGACCATGTGTGCCCAAAATCCTGAGAAGAGTCTGGAGAATGGAGGAGAAGCGACTATGACATTGCCAACCCCCCACCCCCACCCCCAGGAGGATTATTTCTCACTTTCCCTCTCTGTCTCTCTGTTTCTGTCTCTGGTGAGAGCACACACCCTATAGCCAAAAAAAAAGTGAAAGATTTCAAAGAAACAATTAAAATCAAGTTTGGAAGAACTAAGAGATTCCCAAGTAAATGAGTGGCAGCTAGGTATTCTGAATGTATGCACTCAATCAATATGAATTGAAGCATTATGTTCTGGATAGTTTGTGAGGTACGATGGTGGATAAGCAACAGCCAGTCTGCTTCAGAGAAAATATAAAAAAGTGAGAATCAGAGATAGGGAGGGAGCATGAGTTTAGCACAGTTAAGGCAGATATAAAGGAAGAAACAGGTGAGAGGTGAGACCAGTTAGGAATATTCTTCAGGCTGGAAACAGTCTTAAACATTATCTATAGTTATTTAAAAATACCATTTTTTAATTATTATTGTATTATTTATTTTCTATTTATTTAAAATATCTAGTAAGATGAATAAATACTGCAACATTGGCATAATACTTATTAGGTTGAAATGAAATTGCCCTTTTTTAGGTCAAAATGGTAGGGAAAAAAAATCCGTATTTTTGTATGGTTCAACCTATTATTTATGAGATTCTAAGTGCTTTTCCAAACATGAACTCATCTAAATGAGTCAGGATTGATTCTGTAAGTATTGAGGAACAAATTAATATTAGAATTAGAATGAGAAGTAGTCACCTGAATTGTTTTCATATTAATGTCTGTAACAACAATATATATTATTTGCAATTTATAACCAGCCCTTCTACATGCCAATCCCTCTGTTCAGATGTAAGCATACTTACATGTGTGTTCAAATATGTGCACGCATGCACACACACACACTGGGACACCTTTACTCTTACACAGGCTCTGCAGGGTAGGTCTTGGCCTTCACCTATTACCAAGGGTGGCACTGAGGTTCAAAGAAGTAAGAGGCTCTGGATTCTCCCAGTCTATACTCTTTCTACTTCACTGTGCCACTGCCCGCTCCACAAAGATAGGTCAGAAGGCAGCACAGAGGATGGACTGAAGAGGGGAGTTACCAGGCTGGCCTTGCAGCAGAGTGGTTAAGGGAGATGGATCCCAAATGGTTGACTGCAGTTCAAATCCCAGCCCTGTTGGCTTGCAAAACATACCAGGCACATGTGTGTGTGTGCCCCAAATCCTGATGGGATTGAGGAATGGAGGGAAAAGGATTGCAGTATGACCACGCCCCATGAGGGGTGTTTTCCCTCTCAGGCTCTCTGAGACAAATGAATGCATGTAACCCCCTAGTAATTATAAAGAAAAGAAGGGATTACAAACTCCAATTTGACTGGCTCAAGGGCTATGAGATAAGACAAACCGCTTGTTTATACTGGTGCTCTACTGCTGGGACTGAGCACACGACCATTGATATCAAGGGCATCTCAGATGTCAGACCTCACCCAACTGGATTTTTTCCTGGCCATAAACAATAGAGTAAGACCTTCCCAGGTAGAGCAAACCCACATGAGGCTCCACAGGTGTCTTAACTGGTGGCAGGTGTGCAACAGAGTTAGGAGACAGGACTCTCAGCCTGTCCTTATCCCAGTTTAAAGGTGGAAAACAGAATATGAAATGTTAAAGAAACTGTTGGAAAAATGTCTTTGGGGCTAGAATCTGGTCTGCTGGCTTCTGAAGTACTTAATCCCCTACTGTTCTGTTCCTGCCACCCTGTCAGGCTTCCAGCGTTGTAAATAAATTCAACCTGAGTAGCCTAAGAACAAATGTGAAAACCTATAAATTAAAATAAAGAATTTTTATAAGCAAATATATTGCATTATCCCTCACTAGAAATTTTAGAACTCTTCACACAGAACAGAATTCAGTTGATAGTACCTTCGCTGAATGTGGGTTAATGGCAAATCAGGCTCTTAGCAGCTATAATAGACTTTGCCATCAGGAAGAGCATTATTGAAGATGTCAGTGCAGTTGATTACAAAAAAGTAACAAATTTAAAAACCACAACAAAAAAGAAATACCTTGGTCTTGTATCACACAATCTGTAGTGACCAGGGGAGGGACTTGGCCTCTGGTGTTGGTGGCATAAACTTGTCCTCCTCTGGTGGCTCTATCATTTTCAATCACCTGGATCTGATAAATAAAATATGAGGCTCAAGTTAAAGTGAGTCAAGACTCTATACAATGTTCAGTAAAAGGTGCTCGCTAGCTGGCTTGCTCTCCCTCTGTCTCTCCCTTCTTCCCTTTCTCTCTTTATTCAAACACACACAAAAATGGGCCTTTTCTAAATCCTTTCAGATCAAATCCTCAATGAGAACTTACCATGTCTTCCATTTCACTTTTGTGTACTTTCACAATTTTAGACCGAGTTTCTAAATTCTACTCAGTAATACTCTCTCAGCCCTTCTGATAACTTTATTTTTTACCCAATTCTTTCATTGGGACCATAATAACCTTTTTTTTGGAAAAAAATTTCTTCTAGGAAGAGAAATTAAAAACTTTTTATACAAAAACAGTTTTCAATTTTAAAAAATTCTAAAAGCCTAAAAATCATAAAATTCAGAAGAAATGACTTACAATGCATAACTGAAAGAAGCCTTAACTTTTCCCTTTATATTCCCTCTTGATCTTTAGTCTTTCAGGTTTCCCCTATTCACCCTTGATCCTGGGGAAATAAGAAACAAACAGCAAAAAATGTTTCTGTTGGTTTTTGCTTATTGGACAGAAACCAACAGGAATGAAAGTCCTTAATTTTTGTCTTCTAATTTAGAAACATTTTATATTTCTCTACTAAAAACATTTTTTGATTAAAAAGTTAGAATGAGAGATGAAAAATTATCTTTCTGTTGTAACTGCTCACAGATAAAAATTATGAGCAAAATCCAGGAATATAAAGTTAAAAAGAAAGCAAGAAGGAATCCAATAATTATCTCCTTTATCTTCTCCCTTCCCTAACTTTTTTCTTAATGGGAGAAAAAAGAAGCAAGGAAAAAAAAAAAAAAAGAAATAAAAGAAGAAGGTGATAAGAGGGAAGGGAAAGAAAGAAAAATAAGAAGGATGTACAGATTGGAATAAGGAACCTTGAAAAACAAACAAATATATCTTTTTAATATTCCTAAAGAAATTACTAAAAGTATGAAAACCATCTTCTACCAAATTCTAAAATGTCACCTTCTCATCTCCCTTCCCATCTAGTCCAGACCCAGCTGGCATAGACAGTGTTGGTTTTATAGAATGCCAGCAACAGACTTACCCAGCTATTTTTTTCTTATTCTTAATTGTTTTCCTTATTTGTGATGATAGAGCACATGAGCCCATACTCATAATGGGAGAGAAGGAGAAAGAGAGAGAGATGAGCACCTTCCGCAGGGTCTGGGCATGCCACAATCTCTTTCTTTCAGTCCTCCAGCCCATCAGATCCTGTACACTTGTGCGTGTGTCTGGTATGTTTCTCACTGGCCTGTCAGAGATTTGAACCACAGTCATCATGTGGAATCTGGCTACTCTTGATCAGCACATTACCACTGTACCATAGAACCAGCCCTAACCAGCCTTTACATCAATACAGTTCTGCCTTCCTAATTTCAAAGGATTTGAATTACTATTAAATGAAGATACAGAAAGTGTTCCATACGTAATTACTGTACAACAAAGATGAGACTAAGAACTATGTGAGCAGAGAGAAAAATCAAAACACTACAAGCCTAACAGAGCACTGTTTTACCACAGTGTCACTGTCTCAGGCCCCAAAAGTTCATTTTTAAATTATTCATTTACAATTTGCAAAGCACTGTCTCCAAAGATACAATGTGGTAAGTGGTAATTACATTTCTAAATTATTCCACAACTTGACTAGACTACTACACAGAAAATATTATAGCAATTCGCCCAAACTTCTACGAGGGGTAATTAAAAAGTTCATGTAAACTGACAATTATAGTGGCCAGATGGTAATGCAGAGGTAACACAATGCCCTAAGAGACTGACCTATGTGGGAAGGTTCTTGATTGCATCCGGACACCTCCCTGAACACACCAGACACATAGGTGCCTATAATTTTGGGTTGGCTGAGGCTGGGACGAGTGGTGGGGTAGAGACCAAATTGGGGATGCCTGTCTCTCTCACTCATGGAAGAAAGAAATAAAGAAACTTTAAAAATAAAAGGAGGAGGGGCCAGCAGGTGGTATGGTAGTTAAGGCACTGGACTCCCACATGGCTAATAGTGTTTCGAGTCCCAGACCAGGCAGTGCATTCTCAGTCTCTCTTTAGTGAGAACTCATGCCCTATAGCAAATTAAAATAATAACAATAATAAATTAATTAAATATGTAATTCTTTAGAAAAGAAAAAGGAGAATGCAAATTATTGAAAAGCTATGCATGGATTTTAAAAATGTGCTGCAGTAAAATAAACTCATACTTTAATTTCATTTTTCTGCAAGCTTTTTGAGGTCCCCCTGTATTAAATACTAACAAAACGAAGAGTTTCTGAGAACAAGGAATGAAGAATGGTCCTCAGTGAGGGAGACTGTGGGAGTGAAGACAGCACTTACTGGGCTGGGGATGGAATCAGGATCCAGCTTCTTCTGGGGCTGAGGCGGACCAGCCATCTGCGCAGGGCCTCCTGGGAAGCCTCCTGGGTAGGAAAGCTGTGAGCCTGCCATTGGGGGGCCATAGTTGGCTGTTGACAAAAATTTTTTTAAAAATTACTATAATCCCAAATCCTATGTGGAAGCTTCCCCAACTATATCATCCTGTTCGGTCAAGCAAGTTGTATTTTTCGTCTTATTAAACAAGGCCAGGAATCAAATATAAGTATATATGGTTCCTCTTCTCTTGGCTCTTGCCACTATTCAAAAATGATCATTCCTGGGTCCAGCAGGTGGTGCAGTGGCTAAGGCACTGGACTCCTAGGTGGCCAACTATGGTTCAAGTTCTGGACCCGGTGCTCGAAACTCACACCAAGCATGTGTGCATGCAAGCGTGGCCAAAATCCCGAGAGGAAAATAGAGGAGAAGGAAGGGATTGCGGCATAATCATCCCCCAGGGAGGGAGTAATTTTTTGCTTTCTGTCTCTCTGGCAAGTACATGTGCCCTATAGTAAAAATTTCTCTGAAAAAAAGAAAAATGATTATTCCTTAAAAATAAGTGACAGATACCCAGTGACATGGAAATAAACGTGGTTTCCAATTAAGGCTGCCACCCAGGAATCCAGGGCTTTCCCAGCACCCTGTCCACCTTACCCTGCTGCGGAGGATATCCAGCACCCAGGGCCTGGCCTGGAAGAGGCGGGGGCTGGTACTGGGCGTTGGGAGGAGCAGGTCCCAGGGGGCCATCCTGCCTGTGCGTTGGTGGAGACAGAGGTGAGGCACCAGGACCATTTAGGGTGGCAGGTGGTGGTGGCAAAACCTGAGATCCGGGTTGCAAAATGGACGGCTGTGGTGGTCGTGGAGGACTTGGGAAAGATCCCACTGATGGAGGGCCTGCGGGTCCTTGGCTCGGGGAAGCCATGCGAGAACCTGTGGGAGAAAAAAGAGCGGCCCACTGAACACCATTTCTCAGCTTCCTGCCGGCCACAAAGCGCAGGGAAGACAAACTGGTTTGCCTTATTGAAGCCAGAGGCACCCTTACGTCTGGTGTCAAATGGAAACTTTCATTCAGTAATGGATACAAACGCTATCTGGCGCACTTTAATCCCTGGACACGTTTTTATGGGTAAAAGCAGTATTCATAATTTTTGTGACAACATTAGGATAAACTTGAATTTGGTTACATAAATAAAAAAAAAGGGGTCTTCAAATTTCATGGAAATGTGTAATATGAAAAAAACTGTGCACAGATTTCAAAATTTTTTTGCACCAAAATAAACCCATACTTGAATTCCATGTTTCCACAAGCTTTTTAGAAGTCTCCCGGTTCATGCATTAATTAAAGTATCCAGTACAAAATCTAGAAAATCATCAGAAGAAAATTTCATAAGCATTTTTCAGGTCACTTATACATTCGATAAATTATTTGCCTCCTGTGCTTGACTGCATCACATGAATTTCAGAACTAGCTAGAAATAACCAGAGAGAAGGAATGGACCCCTGACATGCTTTCCAGTCATTTTAGAAATTGCTATAAAACCAGATTATGTTTTCCTTTCTCTGATTATGAGCAATCGAGTTGCTTCTTTGGTGACTTATCCACTTTGAAATCAGTAAAAGAGAGAAAAATAGGGCCAGCTTCATGGCCTGGTAGTGAGGCGGGCCAAATTCCACATAGCAGACCACAAAGTTCAAATCCTGTAGGGTGGTTCAAAAAACAGATTAGCACATGTGTGTGAATGCACCAAATCATGACCAGGTGGAGAAATGGAGGAGAAAGGATTAAGGTGTGATACCCACACCCCACTGGGGGACTTTCTTCCCCTATCTATCTATCTATCTATCTATCTATCTGGTAAGCACATGAGAACTCCAACAAATTAAAAAAAAAAGATAGGAAATATTTTAAGGGCTTTTCACTGATGCTTTTATAAAATCAGTTTTAAGTCCTAAGAAAACATTCTTTTCCGTGATAAATGGCTGACTAAATGAATCTCTGTCACAGCTACAATTCCTAAAATGGACAGCATTCCCAATGATGAAAATCTCAGACTGTAACTCTTTTTACTCTTATTCTTCCCTTCTCTGCTTCATGGCATGTGATCATCCATTCATCCCATGATGTAAACACAGAATTAAAATGCACCATGGGGGCATCTGCCAGCAAATGGCGTAGCGATTACGTCATTGGATTCCCGCATGGTGGACCGTGGTTTGAGTCCCAGACCTGGTGGCTTGAAAATCACACTGGGAGCATGTACATGCATGACCAAGAATGGAGGAGAATGGATTGTAGCATAGCCATCCCTCTGAGGAGTGATTCCTTATTTTCCCTCTCACTGTCTCTGTCTCTCTCTTCTCCAGCAAACACATATACCCTAAGGCAAAAAACCTCTTAAAAAGAAAAAATAGCACTGTGAAACAATGCATATTATATTTTCAGTTTTGGTTCTCCATAATAAACAACATGAGCTTAAAGCTACTCTCATATTTCTTAAAATAGTTTTACTCTTCTGATGTTTATTTGTGAAATCAAGTCAGCATTTTTTGTTTTTTATTGTCCCAAAATTGAATGGAAGGTATTCTGAGGGTACTTCAACTACCTTAAAATAAACAGAAGTATGATAAAGAAAAAAAATTAATTGCGATCTATATGAATACATGTAATATATAGCATATATTGTATAAATATACGTATTTAATTAAAATATGTAAAATACTGGGGAGGAATCTTCAAAAAAATTCATGGAAATTAACATTATAAAAGTGAATATTAAAAGTTTCAAAAAGTTTTGCACCAAAAGAAACTTGTACTTTAACTTCATTTTGCCACAAATGTTTTGAAAGCCTCTCATACTACTTTAATATTGCATGTCATAGCCATGTCTATTTTTAAAGTGATGAAAGCGTTTCTCATTAAAGATAATCATGACACAGGCCAGTCAGTGAGCACTAATAACAGAACCGTTACCATAGCTGTTGACCTGCAGAGCATTGAGCTGATTGCCCAGCTGGGTCATGGATGAAGTGGATACAGGACTTGCGTAAGACGACTGTGCTGAGGGTGGGTACGATGTGTAAGAGGGTGCCACACTGTTGACAGGTGGAGGGCCTGGAAATCTGAGAGAGAATAAAAGGGTGTTAAATAATATCACGGTATCTCAGATGCAAATGGCAAACAACAAATGACAAAAACTGATCAGATCAAATAAGCCTATTTAGTAGGCATTAGAAATATGACTATTACTATGTACTAATCATTAATTAATGAGCTCAAAATTAATAGTATAGTATCATCTCACATCTATACTCACAAGGTGAACATGTCAAGATAGCAAAAACAAAAGAAAGACACAAATTCCTAATGTGAAAACAGGACCAGCTTTGGAAATCAACTGAGAAACTGAGCTGTCTTAACTATACCAAAGTTAATGATGGATGGGACAGAAATCAAGAAAGCTAAATGCTTTGTAATTGGCTATTTCAAATCATTCTACTGATTTCCTACCCAGATCTTCAAAACAAAATTTTTTTTCAAGCTTTTTTCCATAGGATGCATATGCCTGCTTGAGAGAGAAGGCAGTGAAAGGAAGTGAGAAGTGAGAAGTCCCCCCTAGGGAAGATGTCCACACCACAATCTCTTCTCTTGCATTCTCCTCTAAAGATTTTGAGCATTCATGCACATGTACCAAGCATGATTTTCAAGCCACTGGGTCTGGGAATCGAACCATTTTGGGCCATGTGGGAATTCAGCTCCTTAATCCCCTGCCACCTGCTGGTCCCCATCCAACTTTTAAAACAAACATTATCGGTACCATAATTTTAAGTGAACAGCGTGTTCCCTACAAAGCAGTACTTGAAAGAAAACAACTCAGCAGGAAACCTTAAAATTGCTCACATCTTTAAATCTGAGCATTTCATCATGCTTTACCGTTGATTTAGGTTGAACTTACTGGACATTTATTTTTCCTTATTTTGCATTAAACAATGGCACCATCTAAATGGCATTTCTATTGCAGTTAATCTCCCAAAGGAAGTTAAAGCCTGCCTTAGAGTTACATTGTAAATTATTTTATCTATTTTAAACTCTAAATAAAATTAAATGTTCCCAGATGGTGTAGCCCAACTTCAATTTCTCTGTCTGTAACCTGGCCATTATTTCCCTAGTGGCTATATCTTCCCTTTTGTCCCCTACTGCCACGAGAGGTTAGGAACAGAGTACCTGAGCAAGGCCAGGGGCTCGCCTAAGGGCCCACACTTATCTGTGACAATACTGAGATCAGCCTTTTGCCAGCCTTAAGTGAATACACTTTCTAAAACAACACACTAATTTTATCTTGTCACCTTTTTCCATATATTTCGAATTGAGTAATTACCATAAATAAAACTTAAAATTAACCCTCAAACGATTACTCTGTGATACTAAGTGTATTTCCAGAAGGATGCTGTTTCACAGTTGAGTTAAATGAAGGATCAAAATGTCTATCCCATGTAACTCACAAGTACAAACTATCCTAAAGCAGTCATCAGACGGTGTGACTCACTCGCACGCATACTGTGCCCTTTGCCCTGGTGTTGCACTACACACACAGAAACGTGTCCTGGAGGGCAAGGAGGCACGGTAACCGTGGAGGCTTAGCCTGGAGCATGAGACTTTCCTCTGACTGTTCCACTTTCGAACCCTATGTCCAGTTTTCAATTCACTATTCAAACTGTGGCAAATCGTGGAGGAGAGGGGACAAAATCTATGAGTGCTGCCCCGGGAATCGTAAGAAAAGAGTATTAAATCGAATTTTCATGAGTAACTAGGCTGAACTCTAAGATAGAATGAACTACCGACTGTGAACTTTGCCTGTCTGAGGGAGGAGGTATTGATAACCACAAACGTGTGTCAAGTCCTCTGTGGGCGCTGTGCCCCGTGAGAATAATTTACATGTGTGAATCATCAAATTCCTTACAACCACCTATCACGGTAACGATGGTGATGAGCAAATCATGGCACAGAGAGGTTAACTAACTTGTCCAGCTGGCAATTTCCACGGCTAAGATGAGCAAATGTGTCCTTTTTTTTTTTTTTTTTTTTTTTAGGTTTTTGTCATAGGGCACATGTACTAGCTGGAGAGACAGAGAGATACTGACAGAGAAAGTGAGAAATCACTCCCCGAATGGGATGGTCATACCACAGTCCATTCTCCTCCTGGGATTTTGGGCACACACACACAGGCACCTAGCGTGATGTTTAAGATGCCGGATCTGGGACTCGAACCATAGTTGGCTGTGTGGGAGTCCAGTGCCTTAACCACTATGCTACCTGATGATCCCTAATGTGTCCTGATTCTTGAGTCTATGTTCTTTGCTGTGCCAGATCCTGTGCTGAGGGCCAGCGAGAGTGAGGAAAATGAAGCCTGCACGAGTATCTAGCTAGTTCATTGCTTCAGCCAGAGGAGGCATACTTTTCTCCACCTTTCTTCTTTCCCCCCTTTGCCCTTCTGTCACTCCTTTGAGATGAAGAGCAAGAGGGTCAGGTCCTGAGCAGGGCCTTTGACTTCCTGTTCCTACCTAAAACCACAGTCACACTGCCACAAAGTAGGTTTGTCTTGTTTCCTGCAGGAAGCCGCTCTCTGCCTTCCACAGCTGCCATGTCAATGCCTAATGCTACTATGACAAACAGGAAGTATTACACTCAAAAATACCCTGTGGGAAAACCAACTAGATGCTTTTAAATATCCCAGACAGAATTTTCTACCAACAAGGACCACAGGCTCCTTCGAAGAGTAACTGAATGGGTGCAAATTCACACTTGGCAGGTACTCCCTCTCCTGACCCCTCCGCCTAACAACCTGGGGACGGAACCTGGAACATGAAGCCTCTGGGTAATCCCAGGAGGAACTCCAACGTAAACACTGTCTACTCGGCACCACGGTTCTCTACAGCAACACCTCACAGGACAAACAATAATGAGATTTCCAAGGGTAAAGTGTGATGCTGGCTCTCTTCCCAAGGGATGGTCCCTACAGGTTGCAGGTGCTAAATATTTCGTATATCTCATGCTCTGGCTTCTCCAGGACTGCTTCCAGCTTCTCCCCTCCTCAATTTATTATAAACACAAATAAGATTTATTTCCTGTGTTGTTTTTACTACAGCCCTGCCTTTTCAGGGTACTTTACTGGCATCTGTGTGCCTTACACACACACACACACACGTATACATACATATACATGCATACATACATGTATTTTTTTAAAAAAAGAGAGATGTTTGCTATAGGGCACCTGCATTTGCTGGAGAGACAGAAAAAGAGACAGAAAGCAAGAAATCACCCCCCCACCCCGGGGAGGGGATGGCCATGCCACAATCCCTTCTTCTCCATCCTCCTCTCAGGATTTTGGGCACACACATCCAGCATGAATTTTAGGCCTCTGGGTCTGGGACTTGAACTGCAGTGACTACATGGGAGTCCAATGACGGAACCATTACACCATGTGTTGGTCCCAAGCCCCATACATTCTAAAATTTGTACAATATTGCTATTTTCCTCTTCACTTTTCTAAATGCTTTGTGTCCTAACGTAGTTTACTGGTTTATCTTCTTTTTTCTTTTTCTCTTTTCTTGGAGAGGTTTTTGCTATAGGGCGCGTGCGCTTGCCAGAAAGACAGAGAGAGAGAAAGCGAGAAATCATCCCCAGGGGGTATGGCCTCAGCACAATCCCTTCTCCTCCATTCTCCTCTTGGGATCTTGAGCACACACGCACATGCGCCTGGTGTGAGTTTAAGCCACTGGGTCTGGGACTCGAACCACGGTCAACTACATGGGAGTCCAGCAACATAGCCATTATGCTAACTGCTGGTCCCGGTTTATCTTCTCAAAGATGTGGATGTTACAAAGAGGCCAACTTTCAGCCAATAATCATGCAGCTTTCGGAGGCATTTTTGAAACCAGCTCACCTTTGGGGAGGGTGTCCTGAGGCCCGAGCTCCATTCTGGTCAAACTGATGAGGTCCAGGAGGTGGAGGGCCCGGAGGCTGCATCATCCCGGGAGCAGTGGCCCCCAAAGGTTTCATCGTACCTGCAAGAGAAGGCATGGACTTAGAAGTGTATTACACCTTTCATCCCCACAGAGAGGAAGCGAGCCATTAGGTTAACAGGAAAACTAGGTAGACGAGAAGAGAAATAAATGGGCTAAGCCTAGATCTTCAGACTCGTTTCCACCATTCCTAGAGACATGTCAATGCCAGACACGGGCAGGGATATCTGTGTATCATAGTGATAAAAGAGTAGAAAAGAGAGGAATCATTTTAACACTAAAGAGAAACCAAAACAGAAGAAATAATCTCTGCATAGGGAAGAGGCACCTTGCTAGAATACATGCGCATACAAGGAACTCCGGAACATGGAATGAAAAGTGCCAGCTGAAAATCTGAAATTAAATCTGGAATAAACCTCAGACAGCACAGCAGAGCGTCCTGACTTTAACTAGCGGGGACAGGGACTGAAGGCCAC